TTTCTCTTTCATTCAAAAGCTTGGCATTCAGGCCTCATCTCTGGCAGAGCTAACCTAGCTTCTGGTTTTATTGTGGCTCGCATCTGGCCGTGCTTCGGTTTCACTGAAATAGTGATGGATTTGCATTGCTTTACCTTATGTGATTTGAAGTCATGCTTTTATAACAAAGTTAGTATCCACACAGACACTCACTAGTTCATGGATGCAAGTTTCCTCATACAAAGGCTTAAAACAGCACTGAGAGATTAAAAGAACTAGGGACCAGGTCAGATCCGTTCTTCCGTTGCCTTCCCTCTTTTCCTTCCTTGTTCACCAGCTGTTAAACTCCCTCCTTTTTTTCCTTTTCATCAAGTACGCTGATATCCCTGACTTGGCATCTTATTTGCTAGAGACACCTGCAAGTCTCATTTGGGGAAAGAGCTGCATCGTCTGAAATGAAAGACCACCCAGCAGATGAGTGTTCTTACGTGCTGGAGCTGCAGCTATGGGCACAAACAACTTGTTTAAGGCTCATGTCATGCTTCTGGCATCTGTCTTTTGAGAGCAGTTTATTTCAGAAAGGCTTTTTAACAAATGGATTAAGTAACAAGCTTTCTCTGCTTGCAGAGTATGGTTGTATCCTATATGCAAGTTCTTCGAGTTCAGGCATATCCGTCTTGCAGGCCCTGGCGTGTTGCAGAACATGGCAACATGCATCTCACCAGCTTATGTCTAAGCTTAGAGAGCTCCTTGCTCTCCGGTCTGTGTTTGCAGTGCCTGAGCACTAGATTAACATATATACCCGACAAGGATGAGCACCACTCTAACCATACCAGTTACATACTTTAAGACCGTGAGAGGCACATCCAAGCACCTGCAGCTGGTAGATTGCAACGGTTTTCAATGAGAAACTGTGGTGAAGTCAGAGGAGATGCTTACAGTAGTGTTTCTGGTTTGTATACCAATGCCCAAAATACAAGCCTGCTGATCTTCCCGGATTCGCTGGGAATAATTTAGGAAGAGGTGAACTGCCAATGGTGAAGGCTCAGATATGCGGGGGATTTTTTTTTCTCCCCACCAGATGCTACCACTGACTGCAGCAATTTCCATCTCTGGGATGCGCAGTCTTCAGTGTTTGTTGATTTACAATGCTTCTGGGAGCTTGGATTTATTTTTTCTATTAAGTCTGATACTGAGCTGCTTTTTCCCTGCTTTAGGATAGAAAGCAAAAGTGAATGTACTATCATTAATGTTTTCTGACTTTCAATAACAGGATAGTGATGTGGTTGCCCCTCATCTAACCCCAATGAAGAGAAGCTGGAATAACGTGGGAGATGATGAACACAGGACAGCTTCAGAACCCAGCTGCAGACAAAGGCTTCCTTTTGATAAGTAACGCTTCCTTGCGGCACTGTTCAGTCTGCTGCTTCGGAAGATGAGTAAACCTGAGCAGCAGCTCTCTTAAAAGCCAGCTGGGTGGACTGTAAGAATTTATGGAACAATGCAGAAATGCATTTTACAATACAGTATGTTTTAATATAAGTGCTTAAACAAAGTGCATATTCCAAACGGGCTTTTAAAAAATTAACAACCTATTGCAGCAGAGCAAACTCAATTCTCATTTATTTTTGAATGTAATGGCACTGTGTAGCAAGAGTAACTTTAAAAATTGCAATTCATCGTTATTACAAGAAGTGCTAAAGACGTTGCTGTTCCTTCTAGTCCTGATCCCTTCTTAAGATGATTGTGTTATTACGTGAGCTAGCAGAAGAACTTCCAGCTCAGGTTTTTTTGGTTGTTCGTTCCCAAGGAAGAGAGGAGTAAGTATGCTTCTGAAAATGTGGTGAGGTAATAGAACTAGGTGGCATCTTCAAAAATAGCAAAACAAATGTAATTTAAAAAAATAAAAGGAAGGGAGAGGGGAATCTTTAATAACCAAGGATTACCTTTCTGGTGTTCAGAAAGCTGATGAAGGTGCAGGCCTCTTGCTATAAGTGTGACTGCAATTTTTATTGAAGTAACAATGCATTGCAGTGACATGCAGCCTTTTATTGTTTTATAGTGTATTTTTGATACATTGAATGTTATATTTTTACTCTTACACTGAACCGCAAAAACTGTTCAAAACGTCCGCCGTTTGAGTGCTTGCGGGGAAGCAGAGCGACCCGAAGGTTTGCCAGGGCAGCGGACATGCGCCCAGTTCCTGCCGTGGCGGGAGAGCGCCCGCGGGCCGCTGCGCTGGCTCTGCTCCTCCTTGCCCCGAGCGCACCGCGTTTCTGCATTACACTGGACCAGGTGGACAGGCTCTGCAGGAGTTCTTCCATTCTTGTGTCCTTTCCTGTTCATCTGGATCTGGGATTGCTGTTCCTGTGTGATTTTTCTCCCTTGCAGAACTATAAGGGTTCTTACGTTTTCCCTTAGTGGCAGTACTAACGTGAGTGTTGCTAAATGTCTGTCCAGTTGAAAAAGTGAGCGAGGAAGACCTTTTTCCTCTCATCTTTTACTCAGGTCTAAGTGGAAGGCTGCTTTCATTAAATAAAACCTAAAAAGCTTGAAAAACCCCACCCTCAGAACTAAAGATGCAAAGCAAAAGGTTCAGAAATGATCAGAGATTGGAATTGAGCTTTGGATTTTTATATCCAAAATGGGCAAAGAGAAGTTTGGCATTCAGTTTTGACAGCCAAGCGTGGGTAACTGGGTCAGTTTCTGAAAACCAACACGATGGGAAGTCGCTGTGAGAGAACTGCACTACTCTCCTCGTATCTGATTGCATTTCCTTTGCCCTCTTTACCACGGGAGGGGGCAGCTGTGGGGCAGGGGGAGGTGAGTATTCAGGTACTCACTCGGATTTCGTTTGCTGAAATAACCAGAAGTCGTTCTGTGCTCTGCTGCTTTCTTACGCGCCCGTGCTCGCGTGCCTGAAGGCGACGCGGCGCAGCCTCTGCTCTTGGCATCTTTGTGTACCAGATGACTACCAGAAGGGGTTGTGACCTCCGTGAAAGCTTTTAAAGAACTTCGTACTATGCTTCAAAAAACAACATCATAGAGTGAAGGCATTTATCTCCCTTATCTGCATAAAATCAGGTATTGTTCAGAATAATGTAATTTTGTTACTGTTGCTTGGGTTTGTTTTGAATCTGTTATAAAAGGTGCACTTTATACTCTGGAAGTATCTTTTGCTTATGTTGAAGCAAAAATTTGTACTTAATGTTAAGTTCTGAGACAGAGCGTTTCTTTTTCTCAAACATGTTAATCTGAGCCTCTCTGGACTAAGAATAAACTTATAAACAATGATTTTACTATTCTTTTAAGGAATTGCAGTGTGTGAACTTTGTTAGAAACAGCCTTACTGCACAGTCATAAACAGCCACATGTGTTTTGAAAGGACGAACGCCGCGCTGTGGCGGTGCACATCTTCCAGCTTGGGGCAATGGTTTCTGAACTAATGTTTTCTGAAGCGCAGCGTGAGCGGTTGCGGCAGCAGGGCCAGCTCGGCCGCGTGGGGCCGTGGGGAGGGAGGCTCACGGAGGCTGCGGCCGCTCCTGGGGCCTTGCGGCACTCCCGCACCGTCGCCGTGCCTGGGCAGAGCCGGCAGGCCTCCAACGGCAGCGCCCTGACAGGGGCCGGGCGGGCTTTAGCTGCTGCTCTGACTGTTGCGTAGGGGAGCAAGGAAAAGCGAAGCCAGGCTTGACCAACCTGATCGCCTTCCACGGTGAAAGGATGGGCCTGGTAGCTGAGGGGAGAGCGGGGGATGTTGCCTCCCTCCCCAGGCTGTCGAAGCGCGGTCTGGGTGAGCAGACGGGGGGGTGAACTGAAAGCTGGCTCAAGGGCTGGGCCCAGGGGGTGGTTGATCAGTGGCACAAAGTCTGGTTGGAGGCCGGTAACTACTGGTGTACCCCAGGGCTCGGTACTGGGTCCAGTCCCAGTAGTCTGGATGATGGGACAGAGTCCACCCTCCGCAGGTTGGCAGATGGCACCAAGCAGGAGGAGCGGGTGCCGCAGGGGCAGGGGGTGCGCTGCTGTCCAGAGGGACCTCACCTGCTGCTGTCCAGAGGGACCTCCTCCGCCCGGAGAAATGGGGGGCAGGAACCTCCTGGAGTTCCCCCAGGGGAAGGGCAGAGTCCTGCGCCCGGGGAGGGCCAGCTCCTTCCCCGGTACCTGCTGGGGGCACCCAGCGGGGAAGCAGCGTGGCAGAAGAGGATCGAGGGGCTCTGGTGGGCACACGAGCTGACCATGAGCCAACAAATCGCTCTTGCAGCACAGCACGGCAGCGGTGTCCTGGGCTGCCTTAGGCAAAGCGCTGCCACAGCCTGTGCGGATGTGTGCCGCGGGGACTAGGTGCCAGCTGCGGGAGAGAGCGGCGCGGGTGGGTTTGTCCCGGGCTGGGACAGGGCACGGCCGGTCCTCCCACGGCTCCTGGCCTGCTCGCTGCTGCTTGCTTTGCACAACTTGACGGCGCCATTTGTTGCTTCCACGGCAAGGACAAGACTGGGACCACGGTTCTGCCTGTTTATTGGTGAGGGGTCACCATATTGCCTGCCAGCCCTGGCAGCGCCATCCCCGGGGGCTGCGGCCGGTGGGACAGAGGCTGCCTGGGCTTGCTCGGCCCTGCCGGCATCATGCTGCCATCCAAGCTTGCTCCTCCATCTGGGGACCCTGCGGTGCTTGGCCCTGCCACGTGCCCTCCTCCCGGGACGGCTCTGCATCGTCCCAGCCAGGCAGGGTCCTCGGTGCCGTGGTGGGGGCTGGCCCTGCGGGCCACCCCGGGGACCCTGGCATGGTGGCAGCAGCACTGCGAGGGGCTGAGAGCCCACTGCAGCCTGTCCCCATCACGCTGCCCCCACCAGCTGCTGGCACACGAAATGGGGACGTTGGTGGGGACAGGGCGGAGGGAGGCAGGGGCGAGGCTGTGCACCATCCCGGCAGGCTCGGCGGGTGCCGGCAGGGAACAGCTCTGCACGAGACATCGGTCCCAAAGCATCCCCCGATGCCACCTTTGTCCCCAGGTGTGGGTGGCGGGGTCAGGCCGGGCACCACACTTCCAGGTCCTGGACGCAGAACTCCTCCCGCGGCGAGAGGGTCTCATTGCCGAAGGTCTCGCAGGGGTGGCTGCCCCCGTGGTGCAGGTCTCCGTCCAGCCACAGCCCAAATCTACCGCTGGGAAGGTGCCAATGGCACGGTTGGCTGAGGGTCCCCTCTCCCATCTCCTCCGTGCCTGGAGACCTCCCCAGCCACCTCCCAGGGAACCAGCCACCTCCCCGTCACACGCCCGGGTGCCCTCCTGCTGAGGATGCCAGGCACAAGGGATGGGCAAAATGGGGACAAGACAGGACAAGCAGCCACCCATGGGGCTGCAATCCTGCCTGCAGGCAGGGAGCAGGCAGGCCTGCCGGCAGCAGGGCAGGGGGATGAACTGGCCAGTGCTGCTGGACAAACCACACTGGCAGTTTTGGGTTCAAACCACCGGCGCGTGCCTGGACCCGGCTCCGCGGGGCAGCCTGGGCTCAGATCGTGGCCCCAGTGGCCATCGGGCCTGGGGACCCCGTGGGCTGCCAAAGCTGCTGGCACGGCTCCTACCTGCCGCCACCGACCATCAGCAGGTCCGCGTCCCCTTTCACGAAGAAGTTGTTCCTGCCGGTCCACCTGAACACCTGCGTGGGAACAGCAGTTGGCTGTGACCGTGGGCTGGGGCACAGCGTCCCCATCCCTGTCCCTGTCCTGTGAGGGACAGCCGGGGGTCCCCACCATGTCCTGCTTCTCCGGAGGAAGACCTGGCCGAGCCTGTGGGCACCGTCCTGGTGCTGGCCCATCCCTGCCAGCAGCCCTGGGGCCCCCCTGGGGCCCCCCTGGGGATGGCTGCCACCCACTGACGCCACCAGCCCCATCACACACGGACACCCCCCCCCGCCCCCGCTGGCCCCGGCCGCCGGGGGC